CACCAAACCTTGGGTAAAACTAAAATAAAATCAAGGAGACTGCTGTTCTATGCTAACCTGACATAGATTCTCTATACGAATTTGGCCAAATATTTAACATTTTTGCATATATAGATTAATGTGATTATTCTAGACTTTTTTAAGAGAAAGATGATGGGAATATCTATGTTTTCTTGGCTGAGAACTGAAAAGTAGTTAAATATGACACAGAATTCATGAAGATGAAGACTCTAAATTTAAATTCCACATCTTCACAAAAATGACATGTCCTGAGAAAGACATTCTAGTAGTAGTTAATTATAACTATTATAGTTATATTCATGAGTATTAACAACTGTATGCCTTCTTGAATGAAAAGAATGTGTTCAAACAAAATTATATCCATGTAAGTAGTTTACCAGTACTTGTAATTCTTTCTAGAAATATGTAAAACCGTGTGCAAAACCTTATTCTTTTCCTCTTATTTCACATTTATTGAGCATTATAGTAAATAGGTTAAAGAGTATATATTTTAACTATTCAAATTAAAAATGATATATAATAAAATCTGAAGACTTAACTTACAAAGATGTTATTTAGTGTTAAGATCCATAACAGGATTGCACTCATCTATGTTTTACATTTCATGCCTGAAAGTGCTAGCATTGAGCAAAATTCTCAATGTGCATTCTTTCCGGATGAACTACAGTTAGACAACTAAATCTGTAATGCAATATAACATGGTCCTATTAACCTAGTGATGCAGAAAAGACCATCTGTACCACATTGGATATGACTAAACTATAGGAATAAACTCAATGCCTTGTGTGGTCATTAATTTAATAAAGCCAGTGAATTGTTTTTTAAAGGAGGATTGTAAAGTAAATGATAGAAAATTAATAAAAGTAGGCATTGACTTTCAATCATCATAATAAACTTGCAGAATTGATTTGTAAATTGCTTTAAACTCAATTTCATGTGCATTAAAAACTAATCAAATGACTTCTATGCAGTTTGCTAATTTTCAACTTGGCAATTTACTTGAGCATATAAAAGTTATTAGTAGAGATATGTAAGAATGCTTGCAAAACAGTTGTCACGATACTCTGTTACTTAATCTTATTTGTGCAGATTGGTTACTCTTATCTTTGTCTTATTAATCCAGAGTTTAATGTTGAATATACTTGTGGTTTGTCTGTACATTGTCATGTCTTTTACCAGAGATAAGTAGTAGAATGATGGTTACCAGAGGATAGGAAGGGTAGTAGGGTGGGGCAATGGGGGGATCAAGTGGGGATGAGTAACGGGTACAAAAATACAGTCAGATCAAAGAAATTACATCTGGTGTTTGGTAGCATTTTAGAGCAACGATAGTTAACAATAATTTATTGAGTATTTCAAAATAACTAAAAGAGTGGAATTGGAATGTTTCTGACACAAAGAAAATGATAAATGCTTGAGATGTTGGATATCCCAATTACCCTGATTTGATCATTACACAATGTATGCTTGTATCAAAATATCACATATACTTAATAAATATGTACAACTATATATCCATAATAGCTATTAATAATAAATGTTTAATTCTATTTCAATTATTTATATCACTATTAACTGCTAGACCACAAATGGAAGCTTATAATAATAAATTAGCCTGCTTAAATTCTCAAATTTACTATAGCAGGGTATTTTACATAAACTTATAGATGAGTTAAATCAAGTAGAGAGGGCCTGGTATAGAGTTCACTATTTTCCATGAACTATTGAGTTCTACTCAATCAATATTTTTTGTTAAATATCAGTCAGTACAATTCCAAGAGTTTAAGATTCTCTAATTATGATGGTTAGAGCAATTAAATATTCTAGCTTTCCCACAGTCAAAATTGAGCACATTCTGAGTTCAGTTCAGAATCTATTTGTGAAAATTCGTTTACCATGCCAAGTAATTTGGTCAGAGCTGGGACTCAATGGTGAGCAAAACAGACAGGGGCCCTGCCCTTATGCGGCCTATGGTCCAGTCCTGGAAAAAAAATGTTAAACAGAAAATCAACAAGTGCAGAGTTACTAACTGTGGTGAAAGCTGTGAAAGAGGTGCTAATCTTGTTCAGAAGGAAGGAAAAGCTTCCCCATGAAATAACTTTGGTGCTAAAATATAAGGACGAGCTCAGCAGGCAAAGTAAAAAGAATCAAACAGAAAGAAGCCATCAATCTGAAAGAAGCACAGACCTCCAGGGGAATTAAAATTCCATATGACTGGGTTCTAGAGAGCAAAGAACAGAGATGAAGCTGTGGGATGGAGATAGTTTTGTCATCATCCACAAAGAGAAATTTATTGGTAGCAGGGCAGGATAGTGGAAGGGTGGAATTATGCAATAGTTTACTTAATCATATATTAATTTTTCTTTCTTTAGAGACAGGGTCTCTCTCTCTGTCACTTAAGCTGGAGTGCAGTGGATCAATCATAGCTCACTGTACCCTCAAACTCATAGGCTTAATTTATCCTTCCACCACAGCCTCCAGAGTGGCTAGGTCTACAGGCATATGCCACCATACTTAGCTATTTTTTTTTTTTTTTGTAGAGACAGGGGGATCTTGCTATGTTGCCCAGGCTGGTCTCAAATGCCTGACCTCAAGAGATCATTATGCCTTTTATTCACAAAGTGCTGTTATTACAGGCATGAGCCACTGTGCCCATCCTCTGAATTTTTTACAAAATAAAAATCATTATTTTTAATGGTGAACAATAATGGTACAAATGTGAAGAGTGATTAGCATTCTCTTGCAAGAAATTATGTGAATCAGTATAGTAGCTTGGAATGATGGAGGAGCAGTGAAGATGAGAGAAATGTAAACAGACATTCAGGAAGTGAAATGAACACAGTTAAGGGATTGATATTAATGGAATATTGGGGATGAGTGGGAAAGAGAGAACAGTATCTAGAATGGTCCTCAAGTCTCAGGCTTATATGACTTCATGGAATGTGATGCCATTCACTGAAAAAAAAAAAAAAAAAAAAGGCCTGGCCTTGGAGGGTCAGATCATGAAACTGCATTTGCTATGAGATTGAAACATATCTTTCAAGTGGAGACGTTGATGAATCTATTAAATATTCAGGTTTTGAACTCAGAGAAGAGGTCTACTGGAAAGAAATATTTAGGAATCATTGAATTGATGACAGAATTGAATATGTGCATATAGAAATAAACCATCCACTAGGAGAGTATACTCAAAATGGAGAAAAGTTCATGAGTTTTGAGAGTGTTCTTCCATGTTTTAGAACCATCTTAAATGCATTGAGGAAAAGTTCATAGTAAATATATTAAGGGTAATGGTGCCCCTGAAATTTAAATAATATAAAAAGGTAGTAAATATTGCAGCCCAAAGATGTAAGTTGTCTGCAATTAGACACTGACAATAAGGTCAGTGTCTAATTGTTAAGCTATGAGTGATGTGGACCTAGATTGCTGTGGTGACAATAAAAATGACAATCTTTGCATTTTATTGTAAATAATACTTACAGAAGCATTGGGTTACAGATTATTGTTTAGATGCTTTCTCATGTTTTCATGTTCTTTGAGGAGTGGAAGTTTTACTTACCTTATTAGTTTTTAAATTTATAAACAAATGCATGCTTAACATAAAAAAATAAAGATATAGAAAGAAGAATGCAATACATTATACCTCACTACTTCCAAACCCACCCACTGAGTTAGTCAACATTAAAAGTTTGAAGTATGTTCTTCCACATCTTTCTCTGCTGCCCTATAACATATATGAACAAATATAACTTTTTGTTATTTTTAATGAAAATTATGTAAACATATGGAGTTTTTTTACTTGACATTGTATTTGAGCAACCTTTCAAAGAATATAATAAGATTCCAAGGAATAAAGAAGCTATAATTTATTCAGTAATTCTCCTTCTAACAGATAATCCAACTCTTTCTAATTTTTATGCTTTGCAATATCCCGTATGTGAATCACTGAGTCAAAATAAAAGCGTATGTTTTTTTCATTTTAATAGATATTGTCTAATGTCTTTTCAAGGAGTTTGTAGCAATCTGCAATCCCACCACCAAGATGTCAGAATGCTCCCCAGCATTCTTTGCCAGCACTAGATGTTAGGCTTTCTTTAATTTACTGCAAAATTGAAGACTAGAAAAATCATATCCTCTTGTTTTACTTTGCAGTTTTTACCACTAGTGAGTTTATATAGCTAAAAATTAAAGTTAATGTTTAATGTTATATTTATGTTAATCTTTTAATTTTTAACATCTACTCCTTAAAGTTTATATTTAGTTGTCCTCCTGTGCATCAACCACTTTGAGATACATATAACATTTTATGCCATACTCTCCAATTTGGGGGCCAAAAAGAAGAAAACAGGAAAAAGATATCCTTACCTGTGCAGTGCATCTCTTTGAAACCAAAAGTCTTTAATAATTCCAAATGGAATGATGAGCCTCTCATAAGAAGTGGACCCCACTTTTTCCTCCCAAACTTGACTCACAATATTATCCAACAGAAATCTAAATATGCCAGTTCTACGCTTTACCTCACCTCACTTCCTTCCTGCCTACTCCATCACATTAGCCCCCCACCACCCACACATGTACATAGTCTATGTTCATTCCTAGGTCTGTTCCTGGACATATGCTACCCTAGATCATCTCTTGTTAAAACTATGTTCAACCTTCAATTTCCTTGGAAAAGTGGATGTATAGTGGATGTGTGTTTTTATTTTATCAAAAGTCTTCTGTAATTCAAATGCTTTTCTGTCACTGGTATGCATCTAATTATCAGAAACATGATAAGATTGTTTGCTGTTTTCTTACTACTTATATGATACTTCAAATTGGTCTCAGAGAAGTTTTCTACAATATCCCTTATTCCAACCATAACTATTAATTCATAGTTATTTTTACATTGTATTTAAATATGAGTCAACAATGTCTGTTTTTGTTACAGGATATATCATTTGTCTTATAATAATGTTCTTTCCTGTCTCCATTTATAGGGAAATTTTTTGGGTTCAAGTTCCCTGCTCTGAGAGTTCTCACTTACAGAAAGCAGTCCTTACCGCAAGAAGACCCCGATGTGGTGGTCATCGACTCATCTAAGCACAGTGATGATTCAGTAGCCATGAAGCACTTTAAGTCTCCTACAAAAGAAAGCTGCAGCCCCTCTGAAGCAGATGACACAAAAGCTTTGATACAGCCCAGCAAATGTTCTCCCTTGGTGAATATATCCGGACCTCTTGACCATTCCTCTCCCAAAAGGCAATGGGACCGACTCTACCCTGACATGCTGCAGTCAAGTTCCCAGCTGTCCCATTCCAGATCAAGGGAAAGCTTATGTAGTATACGAAGAGCATCTTCAGTTCATGATATAGAAGGATTCAGCATCCACCCCAAGAACATATTTAGAGACCGGCACGCCAGTGAAGGTATGTTTGATTTTTTTTTAACGGAAACATATATTAATGGGTAATAAATGATTATTTGCATACTGTTTTAAGTTTCAACAATAATTGGTATGCATTAGGGAAAGAAATGTGATTAAAGGCTATTAAAAACCTGAGTCCTAAACTCAGAGTTGTTACTGATTTCCTCTTTGAACGCTAGCGAGTAATTTAGTTTCTTCTGGTTTCTTTATCTGTATTTCTGAAATAGTATGATAACCATTATCTGCCTACCACATGGAGTGTTAATTAATTAATGCTTATTATAACATTTGCTTAGGTGATGAACACTATCATCTCAAGCATAATTAATTTTGCTGCATTTAGCAAATGATCATGCCCTGGGAAGAAAGAATTGTATGCCATCAGAGGGCTCGTTCATTGACCAGCGATTTCTAAAGGGAGCAGCATAGGACTGTGATGTACTGTGTGATGAGAAAGGCATAAGCTGACAGGGGTACAAGATAGGTAGGAAGAAGGGGAAAAATTTGAAGAGGAAAAAAATCCTGAAAATCCTGATCTCAACGAAAACCAAATTGAAAAGCAAATCAGAATTTATTTATCCCTGGCCTCTTTGTATTCACATTCTTAAATGAGCCAGTAGTGAAATTAAAGATACTTAAAAGGCAATGACAGAAGCAATTCATCATGAACATGGTAATTTATAACATTGGTTAAATACTTACTATATCTGAAGCAATGTAAGTACTTAACACACATTAAGTCTCATTTTACTCTCATAACAAACCCAAATTAGGAATCATTTTAAGCCCTATTTGATAAATGAGGAAATGGAGGCTCAGATATGTTAAATAAATAACTAGACCAAGGTTACAGAGCTGGTCAGTGTGAGAGCCTGGCTTCAAACTCAGGACTGCCTGTCTCCATAGTCTACAATCAAATCTATGCAGTCTTTTTCCTTCCTCACTCCTGCACCTCCATGAAACCTTGCCATACGTGATTTTTATTGAATCTCTTGCCTTTTCCTGGCATGGGTACATCAGACCCACTTTTCAGACTCCCATAGATTTGAATTCTTGAGAGACTTGCTATCCAGGCTGCTGGTAGTTTTGTCTTTAAAACATTAATTCTTAGTATGGGGTATTAGGCACTTTGTCAGTTTATCACACTTATTTTTCCAGCCTCATTTCTAGCCCCAGCTAGACTCCCTTCCCTACTACATATTCTATTCTACAACTGCACAGATATAATTTGCCTTTTCTCAAAAATGTAACATGTGTTTTCCTGCTTCACTCCTTTGTTATGCCTGGAATACTCTTCCCCAGGTTGTCTTTCCTTACACTACTACCCACTGGCAGGGACCCACTTTCCCCTTCCCAAACCAGAATAATTAAATCATTTCACACTCGAGTGTACAAACCAATACTTACATATAGTGCAGCATGGATTACATTTTGTATTTATTGTATAGTATATGTCTGTCATTCTTTTCAGATATGTAAGCAAACAATTATGTTGCTGTGAGCTCCTCCAGCATAGGCACTCTGGCACAGTGAGCTCTGCAGCCTTAGTACCTAGCACAATCGTCTACTTCACGGCAGTTACTCAATAACAATTGGTGTAACATTGAGAAGACCAGGTGACATTGAGAGGACTGTGCTCATGAATTTTGTTTCAAAATCATGCAGATCAGAAAATAATGAGTTACCTACTCTATCATACTCTGAAGCTAAACTGAGGTCTTAGGAGTAAATCATGCAGAGGATCTTTATCTAAAGGGTACCATGAAGCAGAGAAGGCAGAAGAGGTGAAAGAAAGAGTTGGCAGGAAAAAGTTCAAAGAAAGACAAATCAGTATCTCAAAAACAGATACAAGAGCAAATTAGCATATCCATTTTAATATGTGGGCCAAAGAGAGGGGAAAATGAAAATACAAGGCCAATTCCCAAGTTGGATAGTCATCTAAGGCCCTATTCCATTTAGAAATGGCAGGTTCAATATTTCCTGACACAATGAAACAACTAGAATTTGATCTTTGATCAGTGAGTCCTGTGGCTGAACAGCAATGATAAATTCAATGTGGTAATTCAAATGATCAGCATATATTTAAGCTAGTTTAGTTAGTGTGGTCACTTTTAGCAATCATACTGACTTTCCAGAAATTGCCCTTTTAGAGATTCCCTAGAGAGATCCTGACTTATAACAGTAGTATAATAAAATTAAAAAAAAAAATTTGAAAATCAAACTGATACATAATTAGTGCATTGTACAGACAGCCTGTGTTGGACAGTGGTGCTGATTAGTTTAGATTATATTTCGTGATTTAGCTTCATTGTTTTCAATTTATATGATCTCCATTTAGTGCACAGTTACTGATACAATTATGAGAAAGAATGATTTAATATTTTTGGATTTCTCAGTACAGGTACTATACATAAACATTTGGTGCTAAGATCATACTCGATTTTTCTCCCTCACCCAAAGTAAGCTATTTTCAGAAACTGTATTACTTTCTTACAGATTATGCTATAGTCAACATGTGACTATAGATTGATAAATTCAGACTGTATTTTAGAGCAATTTTAGAGCAAATTTTAGAGCAATCTTTACAGGAATTTTAACTACAAAATCACTGATTAGCAAAAAAGAAACTACACTTCTTAAGACTTTATAATTTCATATATTTTAGAAATTGAGCCATTGATAAGGAAAGATGGAAAACTTTTAGAACTGATTTTAGTTTTATGAATTCATGTAACTGATTAACAGGTGAAATCATGCACAAGATTTCAAATGCAGATTGTGGTCTCCTCATTCAAATAAAAAAAAGTTCTCCTGTATAGGCTATTTTCACAGAACTTTAAATATTTTGCAGATATCTTAATGCATAATATTTTACCTTATCCTTTCATTTAATCCACATTGTCAAGTACCTTAGAACCATACTTTTCAAATCATCTTTGATAAAGAACCAGAATTTTGTTATCTAACTCATCACTGACCAATACATTTGTGAATGCAATAAAAATATACTACTAGAACAATGAAATATAAAAAAGACATAAAATATAAACGCCAATTTTTTTCTTATTAGATTAATCAGAAATGAAATTACTCTGTCAAACTGCTACCAAAGGTTCTAAATATTTACTCCAATTTCTTTACTTACATTGTCATGGAGGAATAACAAGCAGATCTCAGCTAGGTGCACAAGCCACTCTCTGCCTTGGAAGGTCAAAGCAGTAATAACTATATAATATAATGTTTTGTTAGTTTTCTTGGGATTGGTAAATCTTTACATAGAATTTTCAGGTTTAACGAATACAATTATAATTTATAACTGCTTGCAAGCAGTTGATATTTTACTAATGGTTTTTGGACCCAGCTTTCTGATAGAGAGTTTCATTCTGGGTAATCAAGATCCCTTCCACTATCTCTATTTGTTTTTTTGTGATTCTCTCAAAGAAGAAAGGGAGTTGTAATCTAAGACCACAATTTTATTTGCATGTCTTTGTCCAATGCAATATCAGCTAGCAATGCAATATACCACACTCTTAGAACTACTTCATTTGTGAGCTTTGAAATTATTATGATATATCTCAAGATTTTAAATGGGTACAGTGTTAGCATACATACCAACAAAATGCTGAATAGATTTTTCAAATCTTGGATATATTTGAATGGTTTTGATATGACAGTGACATTTATTTTAAGCTTGTGTGTTTCATAGCTAGTAATGCATATTTTGTTAGTAGCAAGTATGTAACATTTAGATTGTTGATCCCAAATAAACATGAAAATATTTACCTCAGATTTTAAGAGCCCATTTTATTACAAATAAAATTTTTAAAATTTTACTTATTACACTGAATTCATTGTGACAACATAAATAAAAAAGTTTATATTTTTTAAACAGTCTAATCTTTCATTTACTTCTTACAATTATTTTTGCCTAAGAATGACTCTTTGAGTTATATTTGTTGTTTTCAAACTATACATTGAAGAACATTTGGAGGAGGGAAGTTAATAAAATTGTGATTAATGATGTAAGTTGGAGCCAGGCACAGTGGAGTCAGGCAGAGTGACATGGTTGTAGTCCCAGCTACAAAGGAGGCTGAGGCATGAGGATACTTGAGCCCAGGAGTTCGTTTATCCAGAGAGATATAGCCAGACCTTGTCCCAAAGGGAAAAAAGGAAGGAAAGAAAGAAGGAAGGAAGGAAGGAAGGAAGGAAGGAAGGAAGGAAGGAAGGAAGGAAGGAGGGAGGAGGNAAGGAAGGAAGGAAGGAAGGAAGGAGGGAAGGAAGAAAGGAAAGGAAGGAAGGGAAAGAAAAGGAAACTGTTGGCAGGGTGCAATTTAAAGTATATGGTAGAATCATCAAAGTCAGAATTTGACATTACAAATCTCTAAACCATTGTAGAAAGTTTTCACATATTAATACTTAAGAAGTTATATCCCCAAATTGGAGAAAACATTTGCAAGCTTAATAAAATTTAATGTAAATATTCACTCCAAAATCTTCATTACATTTTTCAAGCTCTGGTTTTGAAAACTATTAACAATGTTTAAGTGTCTGCCTCTAAGATTTTTCACAAAGCCATTAATATTCTAAATTAGGCTCACGCCTGTAATCCCAGCACTCTGAGGGGCAGAAGTGGGAGGATCACCTGAGGTTGGGAGTTCAAGGATCAGCCTGACCAACATGGAGAAACCCCGTCCCTACTAAAAATACAAAATTAGCTGGGAGTGGGGGTGCATGCCTGCGGTCCCAGCTACTCAGAAGGCTGAGGCAAGAGAATCACTTGAACCCAGGAGGCGGAGGTGGCAGTGAGCTGAGATCATGCCATTGCACTCCAATCTGGTCAACAAGAGCAAAACTCTGTCTCAAAATAAAAATAAAAATAAAAAAAAGAAAATGAAACTGTTATCTTAGAAACATTTTTCTTATTAACATACTAGGTTAAAGTATATGCAAAAAAGTACTAAATATGCATAATGTGGAGTCTTCCTTTGAGTATATTCTAAGTAACAGTAGAGGAGACACTAAAATTCACTGTTGACAAGGTTGAAAGTTTTTGTCACAACTTTAGGCAGCTGGGGAAGTCTATTTCTAAACTGTCGTAATTATAAAATCTGTACTTTGGAATCCATTTAAATTGAGATAAATGCTTCATATATTTAAATAAGAATGTATATTATGACGGATATTATTTTTAGTATATGCATGTTACTTGGTTGAATAGTACACAACGTTAATTTCAATTGAAGAGAAATTTTCCATCATATTCTGACTTCTCTGTTTTTACACAGGTAATTCAGTGTATATAATATAATTTTAGTCTTCTTTTTGTATTTCTCTTTTTTTATCCTTATGCTCTCAAAACAGACAATGGTCGCAATGTCAAAGGTAATGTACAAACTCAATTTTCACCATCTGATGCTCAACGTGCCCCTTTACTTGGCATGTTAACTTGCCTGCTGTATGCCGCCCTTAGCTAGTTGGGTGCCTGGTGGAGACATCGTGGCTTGATTTTGCTAGAGACATTGTTACTTCTCTGCTGTGTCACCAAAATGATTATGAGCTCCTTTTGCCTGCAAGAATTATAAGGCTAGGTTGACAACAAATACTTCCTAAATATTTAAATCATTTGGAAAGAAACAAATATCGAGCAAAATATATTCCAATGTGACAGAGGCACAAAAGCCTATTTCAGGAAAACAAAAATTTTGAGTGCAAGATTAAATAAGATAAGCAAAGTGCTCCATGACAGCATCACTTCACTTGTTCCTCTTTTGTTTCCTTAAAACTAGTTTCACGTTCCTGGATGGCAGGGGGTATGGTTTTAAGCTTACTGTAGTAGTAAACTACACATGCATGATAGTCATTTTCTATTTTTCTCTATTATATTTTAATCATTTTTAACTGTGTTCTATATTAGTCTGAAATCACTGGCATGACCTACAACTACCACAGGGTTATGTTTAACTGGCAATACTCTGCATAAATTTGGATTGGGCTAAAAATTTGAAATTCACTTCTGTTTTCTACTATATCATAGTAGATACAAGGGTCACAGAATATAATAACCATATGATCATCATCAAATTGAAAACCGTTGGGACTTGGTCTTTCAGCAATGGCCATGCATGCTGCTGTGGGTGTGCAAATGGTGATAGTGACTTATTTTGTGCATGTGTGTTGCATGAACACGTCTCCACCAGTAATGATCATTGCTTAGAATTCACTGTTTTGGCCACTCTCTCCTTTATGTCACTGGTACACTGACTACTGTGAAATTTTGTATATTGATTTCTCAATTGCTTCCCTAAAATAAATCAGAGTTGGTGATGTTTATGTATTAATCGTACTAGGAACCAAAGATGTTTGGTCAGCAGCCTAGGGAAATTTAAAAATCAGGGAAGTTGTCTCAAAAAAAAAATCAGGGAAATTATGGCAGTATCTCCCCAAAACCCACCCCAATTTTATTTTGTAAGAATTTTAAAAAGGGTCTATGAAGGTTGACCCTAATAGTGAAATGGGATTTCACCTACATCATTCTTCTTTTGTTCTTTTTTTTGGCCTGTCCACTGTGATTTCTAAAACTGTGCAAATTACTGTTAACTGTGTGTGGTGGTTTGCCTTGATATAATTCAGAATGTAACCTCAGTAAGCAGGATACAGATAGTCTTGCCAATTGGCTTTAGGATTTAACAGGTAGCAGTAAATTAGTAGGCATTAATTAATTTTCAGATGATTTTTACATGTAGAGATAAATGAATCTGATTTTTTTTCAATAAATAGAAAATTGGAGTTGTTTAACTTTTCCAATTATGAGTTTGCATATATATACAGTTATTTCATTTTAGTGTCATAATAATTTTAGTGTCAAAATAATTCATTTACTCTCCAATCCTTTTTTCTCAACTCTCTCATTTTTAGTAGGAGTAGTATTTGAATACGGATATTCTTTATTTATTACATAGATTTCAGATTGCACATCAATTTTACAATCATGATTTAAAGTATATGGTAAAATCATCAAAGCCAGAATTTGGCATTACAAATCTCTAAACTATAGTAGAAAGTTTTCATATATTAATACTTAAGAAGTTATATCCCCATATAGGAGAACACATTTGCAAACAATAAAATTTAATGTAAATATTCACTCCAAAGTCTTCATTACACTTTTCAAGCTCTGGTTTTGAAAACTACTAACAATGTTTAAGTGTCTGCCTCGAAGATTTTTCACAAAGCCATTATTACTGCTAATTAGTTACAGGACCCTATATTAAGCATGAATTTTAAATTTTTTGACTTTGCTTCTATATCAGATCTAAATAAGACTAAAAGATGCAGGTTTCTACACTGCTTTGTGTACAAAATGCAAAATTATAATTTTAATATCTAATTCAACCAAAAAAAACCACTTATTTACCATAATAAAATAAATAATTTAGGAATGTGTTGGTAATGTCTTCAAGATCATCTGGTTTATTCATGTCAGGTGAGGCGATGGCTAAATCCCTTGCACAGGTGGTACATTTATCCCTGGAGGAGGCCATTCTTTAACTTTCTCAGGAAGTCTGTGTTAGTGCCTGCTACACAAAGAGATAACCTAAATCCTCCTTTCTAATATGTATTTTGCCCCTGCATCTATTTCTACTGGACAGAAATAATAGGTGACTACTACTAATCCTGATGCAATATCACAGTAAAAAGACAGCAAATTGGTACTCAATCTTATTTCTAAAACTAATTTTCACTTAATCTTCTTTCTTAGGATCTATTTTGTTTCCCTTTAATAAATTTCCTTAGCATTCATATTCCTTAAGCTAACACTTCAAAGTTCTTCGTTAAAAGTCTAATCCATTGTCAAAGGGTGGAAAAGCAATTTCAAATAAATTGCACATTCTGCATATACATATGTATGTATTACAATTTTTTCACAATTTCTCTAATATGTGAGAGAGGTACCTAATCCTACCTCCATCGTTCATATATTAATTTTTACCTCAAACGTAGTGGCTTTTGTCTATTTTGCTTTCCAAGTCATCAATAAAAACCTATGTCACTTTCTGTACTTCATAAATAAGTCATGATACAATTTTGCCCCTTTAATGCTTCCACCTCCTTGTTATCTCAAGTAACCCAGCTTCCCTCTAACACTGGAGTGTTCCATTTCCAGTTTATCTATGAATCTGTCATATGACTCTGAAGTAAAACTATTTTCAAGGTTCGTTACAGCTTTTACCACCTCTCTAGCCTATATGACTCATAAATGAAATAAATTAATCTAATATAACTTGTTTCTTATAGGTTATATTGACCGTTACCCAGTTTCTTCTCATTTGATAAGAATTTGCAAATTGATTTTCCATGAAAATAGTTTTCTCCTGCAAATAATATGTCATGCACTGAAACAATGTGAAGAAAAATAATTTGATGATTACCTCTTATGTATCTTTCTAAGTGCTAAACTAGTTTCCTTATATTTACTGACAGTGTTCTTTTACAAAGTTTAATTATTAAACACCGCATTTGCATCTTCTTTCATGTTAAGTCAATTCAGCAATTTGAGTTTTATTAAACTTTAGCTAAAAATAAACTCAGTGCCCTACGAAAAATTGTACAAATACCTGATGATTTAAAAACAACCCTTGTTTGGTTTCCTTCTTTCTGATCACATTTGGCCCTCAAAAATGACTTTTTTAAGCAGCATTATTATTTTTTAAATCTATCAGATGCTCTTAGCTATATTTCCAGCACCATCTAAAAGAAAAATATATTCTCCATTAGCATCTCATAACTCATGATAAATTTAAATAGCCTCGTCATACAAATTTTAAATATTTTTAATCTAAAATTCTTCCCAATTGTGGCTTTAGCTTCTGGCTTTATTTCCAAATGTAAGTATTTCTTTGTAGCTGGAAGCTGGCCTACTTTAAGTTTAATCAGACACTTGAAATATATTATAGCACTGTCCAGCTGTTGGTTTAGTCTACTTGGTCACCTGTTTTCCACCTTCTCCTAATATATTGAGAAATGTAATCTGGTCATTCATCTTATAAATGCTTCTCTTAAGAACATCAAGTCCTCTGTGCTCTTAAATTTTACATTACTTTCTACTGAATCTCTTATTTCCCTCTATTTCTGCCCATTCATTTCCTTTAAATTTATTTACTTTGTTTTTCAGGTTATTCTCCTTTCTTTCATTAGAATCCTAAATCCCATCTGTTCATGATCACTCTCAGTGAGGCTGCCTTTCACCTTTAAATCCTCAACCAAGGCCTCTCTGAATATAGACTTAGGAGGTAGGAAACCATGTATTCTGGTCCTTTATTATTCTTCTTTTTTGGCCTCATATTCTGTCCGCTTAGGTTTACAATTGGTGAAATAGGGATATTGTTAATATATACCTTAATTAAAATGTTGAATTTTTTTTCATGTGCATTTAGATGGGCTTAGAGGAACCTAAGCCAACACTGATTATCTTGCAGACTCTAGAAGACTTCTTCATTTAAACATCTGCTTTAAAATCAGTGGAAAGAAGCATAATTATCTTTTTTATACAGCATTAAATAAATTTTAAATGCCTTTTCTAAGTAGCACGCACAAGTTAGTTTAAGTAATATTTTAAGTTTTGCTGAATTAATTAAAATGTATATTAAAAGAAAATCTGAATTAACTCTTTAAGACTAAGCCAAAAAAAAAAAAAAATAGAGTACCAGTTTAGCAAATAAGAGAAGCTCAATTAGTGAATGCAATGAAGTTGCAAATTCTGAAGCCAAATCTGAGTAGGGCATTTTATCAACCAGTTTCTCAGTCATATCAGATCCAGTGTCTCTTTCTCTCTACAAATATTTTGTTATACTTATTTTGCTATCCTGAAATGGAACTCTAAGATAATTTAACCTAGTTCTAAAATATCAACATGATTCCCTAACTGTAATATATGGGAGAAATAAAAGAAAAGCAGTTTATAATAAAATATTTATTTCAATGTTAGTGTTCAAATATAACTACACTAAGAAACATAATGCAATAATCAGACATATGAAGAAAATGTGGTTTTAAAAGCAATAAGTACATGAGAAAACATTCATACAGGTACCAGATAAAATGGTACAGCAGGAGTATGGATGGGCAGCATAAAAAAAACCATCATTGGAGTCAAGAACTAGATCAGACTTATTTATATACGAATTTTTAAAATGGGAAGTAACTAAAATTGAATTATGATTAATATACCAATACAAACTGAAGCGAAAATAATGATCATGGTATTCTCACAAGTGATCTAGCTCTTGCTTTTAATAGTAGTGTTAAAATGATACATTATGTGATATAATGCAATAGTAGTGAATTCCACAGAAGAAAGAAATCCCACTAGATGTCAGGACATATATTCATCCTCTAATACATAAAAAGGATCCTGTAAACATGTTTTGTTATATAATGAGAAACAGAAGATGGAATGGAAAATGAAATGGCAATTAAGACATTATAGAGAAGTTGTGGCAGATCTTCAGGGAGTTTTGAGAATGAAATTGAAAACCAACATGCAACCCAAAGACAAATAAATAATTTCAAGTATATCTTTTTTAAGACATAGTTTTCTTTTCATTGTTCCATATCATTTTACATATATAGGAGGATATTTATATGAAATATTTTTGAAGGAACTTTTATTAGTGTGATTTTGGTAATTCTCTGCAAATTTAATAATATTTGGTTCCAACACTGATAAAGAAGACTCAAATCTCTTAGCTTACATACTTACAAATGACAGATCCAAACACAGATTGTAATCTAAACTCTGAAATTTTGTATTAGCCACTCAAATGTCATAAGGAGTGTAGCTCAAAGTGGCATAATTTTCCAAAATGGTAAACAATTTCTGATAAAGTTCTGAATAAAACAATATATATTCTTACCTCTACATGGAATTTGTAGCTCTAGAAATTTCAATTTATATTAACCTCATGTAAAAAGTACATTGTGGTATTTTATATGTGAAGTAGTTCATTTTAAAGCTCAGTTTATGAATAAACAGGCTTTTCACCTACATGAATGCCCTTGAGACATGTAAGGCAATTCTTTAAGGCAGGAGAATTGTGACACTGAAATTCTTTCATAACTGTGACTAAAAATGCCCCCACGAATCTCCCCTAGAGTGAAATACTACCACAGTTGAAATCACACGCTTATATAAGTGCAGCCCATTCAGTGGAGTTTATTGGAACTGGTCACAAGGGCAATTAAAGTAGACACACAGTGTCTTTCTATTAACATCATAGAATCTGTGATGACATCGATGATCCATGATTTTAGCCCAAATTTTAAGCAACTCTGTGGACAGTTTACTATGGAAATGCAGCATAGAGAAGGATGATGCAGAAAGAGAATGTAAAGATGAGCTTAAGGGTTTTGAATACAATTTAACTATATATTTGAGCTCTGTTACCTATAATCTCTTAATAGTATCCCTGTTAGTTAAATAACCTAAGGAGTGAAAATATGACATTAAAATCAGTGAAAAGACAATATCTAAGAAACCTAAAATCCTAGCATAATTTACAAATTATAACTATTAAGATATAAAACCTAGAACTCAACTATAGAATGTTGCAGAAAGGGAAACACTATCCTGGTGTGCATTACAATAAAATAAATTAGTGATGTGGGCTGGAGACATCTAAAAAGACCTGAAGAATAGAGTTTCTGTCAGAGAGATATCTGAAGGCTAGATTAATTTGTTGCCACTATTAGCTTTTATTTCTATCTTTGTATAAATAGAAAAGAGAGTAAGGTTCTATATGTAAATGAGAACATATGAGGCAATAAATGCCTGGAGAGCTCATAACATTTTTCTTCTAGATGGACTTGGTCATTATCGTGGATAAGACTCAGGGAGTCAACAGAAATGCAACTCAAGCAACATAGTATTTGTTAAATACATGAAAATTTCTTAAGATTACTTTAAACTTTTATAATAAAAAAGTGTGGACTTTAATAAACAAGTATAGTGTGATTTTCCCCCATAGTGACTATAAACAAAATGATGGGCATTGCTTTTTTAGTATTGTATCTGACCTGAGTTGATTGATTGTTGTCCAAAGGCAAATTCTTTTAAGTCTAATTTTAAAGCATTTATACCTTGCTTGGTGCTTGAAATACACTTCAATCCTGAAAATGGGTTCACTTCATTTTGAACAAAGAAAAAAATAATAGAAGGCAAAATATGCTGCCTAACAAGTTTATTGATGCAGTTTGTATGTTTTAACCGCTTCCTGGGGCACAAAAATAGGGAGCTCATGATTTTTATAAAATTCTCCCTGATATTAATTTTTAAGAGCTAAATAACAGCATATCTAATATTGCTCATTACACAAGATACTTCTCAGAAAATTTCCTGATTCTTCATAAGCATCAGACAACAGAGTGGCCCAAAGAAAGATATAGGTAGTCAGTCTACTTCCTCAACAAGGAAACCAGGAGTCCTGCCACCTTGCCAAGTTATCTTTGTAGGAAAGATTTCGAGAAGTGACTAGGTACTGTCAGTTCCAGACATGCCCTATTACCTAGCTGTGGTCACTTCTATTGTAAGTTATGTTTGCCAGAGCATTCTTCTTGTGTGGTTTTTATAGCACCTTTTATTTTTCTCAGAAAGTGGTCCTCTTAAATATAAGTGAAAGATAAAAAAGATCTAAAAATACCATATATGATCCTAGAATTTTTAATAGAGTACACACATGCACACAAAAATGGCCTTTCACCCTCCCCAGCTTTATCTGTAATTCCTTTATCTGAGTTTAACTCTTTTAGAAGCTCTATGGAGCATCTCATATAGGTAGTGGAAACATGAAAAACCTAGATGGCTTGTCACTCCTCAGTGACACAGAGAGGGGAGTAATACAGATTGGAGCAGGGTAAACAGCCCATTTGGGAAATTTCATGGGCAATGTGACTTTAACCATAGCTAAGTCCTTCCTCAAATAATTCTCAAATTACAAAATGAAATTTTTAAACAACTTTAAAGGTAGAATTTGACCAATAACAGAGAGTGTAGTTTTTTCTTTTATTCCAACCTTTAATGAAAGAAGCTAATTAACAGCTAGATCTGCCATTTACTCTCTGGGTGCACAACTAGAACCCAGTCTTATTCTCAGATACTCACATGCCACTCCACGTGGCCCAAGGTGACCCTAAGCCCCAAGTCCAGGTATAAGCTGGCTGCATTTAGCACACTCAAATCAGGATCATATTGGTCATGAATCATTAGCAGGGCATTCAGAGCTGCCTCTTTCTTCTACATCTTCTTATATTACTCTTACAAATACTTTCCTTTTTTTTTTTTAGGGCCCTTTAATCATATCAAGTCAAGCCTCCTGGGATCCACATCGGATTCAAACCTCAACAAATACAGCACCATTAACAAGATTCCACAGCTCACTCTGAATTTTTCAGATGTCAAGACTGAGAAAAAGAATTCATCTCCACCTTCTTCAGATAAAACCATTATTGCACCCAAGGTTAAAGATCGAACACACAATGTGACAGAGAAAGTGACCCAGGTAGGACACAATTTTCTTATCAATTTCAACTATTTTACAGGTTGTTTTCTGCACCATAAAACATATTATTTTTCTTATAAATGACTATCAGTAGAGGTAAGACATTTATTTGTACTCCTATGTATCTTGAGATGTTGGGCAACTCTTTAATATAACAGATTAATAAAGCTATATACTATGATTTTGTCTATTACAAGACTAAGCAACATGGCTAACATGACGTGGTTGCTCCTATGTTTATAGAGGTGGTTAACCTGCTATTCATCATGTTTGGACACTTATTGTTTGGCTGCCAACTCTCATATTATTATAGCATGGTTTTTTTAATATAATGGATGTGTCTATTGAAGCTTAGGGGACTAATTAGGATTTTCTCTGAACTATGGTTTCCTTTTTGCACTTACTCTACTAAAAAGAGTCAGATCTAAGTCAGTTAACCTGGGGAAAAGAGCTGTCTGAGATGATGAAAAGTCAGTGAAACAACACATTTTGTTGGAACAATACCTTACTGTTTTCAAATAAATACTGCAACTTGGACTAGCATAAAAACCTATGTCTAGCAGGAGTACTGCTTCAGAGAGTAGATAGAAATGATTTCTATTTATTATACCAATATACCAACCTAAGCAGCACCTAGCTTTTGCTTACAGTGCACTTACATTGCTAGGAATTCATGACTCTAAAATTAGTCAAGCAAGCAGTTCTTTTACGAACAATTTACTCAGTATATTTGCTTAGCAAATCTTTGCATAAACTCTCTGCAATATATAGCCAAGCTTGCCTCTGTTCTCTATCCCAAGCATTGAAGTTTTTGAATTAATGAAGTTTTTCTGTAATTGTAATCACTACAAACAACACTATAGTACAGTTTGAGATAACCTCTTACGTGTGAGCTGAAACAGCTATGAAAAGACCATGAGCAAGTTATAAATAGACCTGCGCTGTCTATATTTATTTGAGATGAGAACTTACACATGCCATTCTTGAGAGCTTCTTTTCTATGCATTTTATATTTATGTAGTAATGAGGCTTTCTATTCTTGGCATTTCACTTAACTTACATTTAGTAACAGTTTACTGTTATACACATTGCATTAACATCCCTTTGTATTTTCCTTTCATCTGTTTTTACTTTAAAAGTTCTATTATTTATAGATTCCTACCATTATATGAATATATAGAAATCAAGAGACTTAAGAGAAGACAGAAGAAAAGTTGGAAATATTAGGGTCAGGGCCCTGAAAGAGCATAAGGGAATCAAATTCAAAAAGAAGCACAGCATGGCAGCGGGGACTGTGGCGAACTGTGGACTGCAGGCCTCATCTCAAGCATACAGCTGATACACAGCTCTAGCTAATTGTGGTTAGGCAGAAATACTTGACCAATCAATGAATGTTTGCAAATCTTTCCATTTTAAAAGAGAAGCTGGAAATGCAGAATTTAAGATAGCTTCTTTATTTCTTAAAGTTGACAAACTAAAAAATACTTTGAACTTTTTTAGGCCAAACAAAACACATCTTAAAGCCTATGGGCAGCTATGTGTGATCTCAGCAAGTTTTAGATGTGCTTCGTCCACCACAAAGGCCACTCTATCCTGCCACGTTCAGCAGATCCACTGTGCCAGAAGAACGTGATACACACATAGATCTGAGAAGTACCTGCTCTAGGGGCTTTCCCAGATAGTGGGACAGAAAGCATATATATATAAATATCAATAATGAAATGCATGATAATAAAGAATATTAGGGAGAAAGTTATTATTCTATAAGGGAAGAATTTACAGGGAGGAAAAAGAGACAGGATTAAACACTTAAGCCAGATCTAGAAGGTCACATCAAACTGCATAGTCAGTAAATTTCAAGAGCATAAATCAGAGTCAAACTGGATTGCGTTTTTATTTCAGTCATTTATTGTAGGTCATCAATGCAAGCAGCATTTATTGTGTGACATTAAGGCAAATTTCAGGACTGGGAAAACTTATTTATCAGAGTTGATATAAGAATTAAATAGAAATGTGGAAAGTGTTCATCATACTACTAAGTATATAACAAGCAATGTCAGGTCATTATTATGTTTATTAACATTCTTCTATGATCCCCCTGCTTTCCTCGCCATCTCTGAAGGATCTCTTTATCCCTACATCATGAGGGCCTAGTAGAACCCTGGCAGAATGGAGTTCATCAAATGTTTGCTTAATCAAAGAGTGCATAAATTGATGGAAGAGTTAGCCAAGGGAAGGGATAAGAATTCCAGGTAGAAAAAAACATAACAACAAAGTTATGAAGGCATTAAAGCCCATATGTCTTTTTAGAACAAGTGGTCTTCCGAGCCGGTGACAGGGTAGTCTGGACAATTTAACTTCAAAATAATCCTTTTGTACCTTTTCACATAAATGTCTTGGGGGTCTGAGTAAAATGTAACAGCTTCCATCAGAAGCTTTGCACGTTTTCTGGTCTCATGCTTTATCTTTAAAAGCCCTCTGACGTTCACATTTAGCTTTGTAATATAACAATGTTTTAACATTTAAAAATGTTTTAAAATATTGCTATAGACCTAATGTTTGCATCTCCATCAAAATTTACACGTTGAAACATAATCACCAGGGTGATGGCATTTGGAGGCGGGACCTTTGAAAATAGGTCATGAGTACAGTGCTCTCATGAATGGGATTAGTGTCCTTATAAAAGAGGCCCCAGAGAGCTCTTTGGCCCCCTTCTGCACTGTGAGGTTGCAATGAAAAGATGAAGGTTATCTAACAAGGAAGCAGGCTCTCAACCAGGCACTAAATGGGCTGGCAACTTGATCTTGGACTTCACAGCCTCCAGAATTGTGGACAATACATTTCTCTTGTTTGTAAGCTACCAAGTTGATAAGTATTTTATTTTAGCAGCCCAAATGAACTAAGATGACTACTTACCACTGAGTGACCCTGAAGCCCACTAAAAAACTCCAGAGTTTTCCTAAAGCTTCTTATACTTCCCGCAAATTGTGAAGTATCCCCTCCTACTTTCCAAAGTACCCCAATTGGAGAGGTATGATGCAGGTGAAAGACTTTTTCAAAGTGCTGGAAAATCATAATTTTGATCATATTTTATATAAGTTCACTTTTTTTTTACACTGTAAAAAATACAATGAATGGAAGGAAATTTTGGAGGCAGGTAAAACACTTAAGTTGCTATGGTCCTTGCTAGCAATAATAAGGGACTGAGTAAAGGCTGTGACCACAAACTGGGAAAAAAGGCATCAGTAGGAATGCTTTATCTTCTTTGTACGTGCCCCCTTTAGCTCTCAGTAACAAACCTTCCAAGCATCCACATGTCAAACCAAACAATGTAGAGACCAAATATCAAGAACTTCCTCCTGCAGGCATAGCCTCTTGAAATTTTATTTAAGTACTTGAAAGCAGAGCTCTTCAATAAATCATTTTTAGGATTATATACTTTATTTTGTGTTTGTGAAATTTCCTAATTACAGCTATCTTTAATATTTCCATATTCACTACTTTTAACATCAGTTGTCCTCTAGTCACCAAAAACAACTTGTTAATAACTAAAACACTTTACTTGTCATTTTTATTTCTTTTTTAGGCCTGCATGGAGATTCTTGTCAGGAAATTTTCAACATATTTACTGTAGGCAGACAGCAGTATTTTCTTAATCAAATGTTCTTGCTTATTTTATTCACATAATAGATTTGTATGATATTCTTTCTTTAAAAGAAGTCAAGATTTTGTTTATAGATTATTCAACAATAAATTTAAACACTTCAGTGCACAAAGAATAGAGCAGTCATCAAGAGACAAAGGCATAGATGTTGTTCTGTCTCACCACTTGAATCTTATCTCTATTACGTTAAATTAGAATTAGGCAATTAGTTATTGGCCCCCTCAGCTAGAGTGACCTTCAATGTAGGGACTATGTGATCATTCATTCATTCACTCATTTGTTGTTCATTTGAGTGTTTGTTTATTCATTCAAAAGCATTTATTGATATACATTATATATTATATTATATTATATATACACTATATATTATATACAATATATTACATATTATGTGTATATATAATATATTATATATGTATTGTATATATTATATCTAATATATTATATATATTGTATATAATATATTATATATGTATATATAATATACATATATTATGTGTATTATATATAATATATAATGTATATCAATATGTGTATTATATATAATACATAATATATATCAATATGTATATTATATATGATGCATAATGTATATCAATATATAATATATACACACACAGTGCCAGGTGCTGGGAATTCAGAGTTAAAAGGCAAATCTCTGCCTTTGAATCTTGAAGAAGACAGACAAGTACAGTACCTTGGCATTATCATGCAATGTAAAGTATTTTTCTATGGGTAAACACAGAGTGTGCAGACAGTGCTGAGAGAGGAAACTTTACCTGCATTGGGAGTTTGGGATAGTGTTTGGAGAATAGAAACTCTTAAGTGAGTTTTGGAGCTGAGAAGTTTCCAAGATAAGGAATAAAAATCTGAAGTGAAACACACGTGGGGATCTCTATGTACCAAAGAATGAATGAAGCATGAGGTGTTTGTATGATTAGTACCTAGTATAATTACATGACATACGGTAGCATTGTAAAAGATTCAAAAATAAACCACAGAGGGTATTGGGTTGAATGAGGCAAGAGTAAGTCTGCAGCCGAAAATCTCCAAAGCAAAATGCCTTCTTTCTGAAACCTTTTGTTAGGCAAGACTCCAGTTCTTCCTGTTATTTGGGATCCATAGACCCCTTTGACCTTATTAATCTTCCGGAATGCATCATGTCATATTTCATTATGCCATATGTCATCTGACCTTCTTTATTTATTTGGAGAAAAGAGAATATAATTCTCAGAAGATGTGTGTGTGTTTTTTCCTTCACTACAGTCCAGCCAGTACAGGCTGATGTGCAGTAGTGTACATCTCAGGGAGGTAAGCCCTTGGCTGGCCGTTTCTA